CAATTTGCTGAGACCTTGTTTAAATCTTACCACAGCATTCGCTACCCTTTTGGAATATTGGGGTTTCAAAGCATAATGAGTGATGCCCTGAAAGCTCTTGACCTACCCTGTTCAAATTCTGTCCTCTCCAATATATGAGAGGGAAAGTAAGATTGAAGAGAAAGTAAAAAAAATATTGGCATTCGTGGATATTTGGGGAAGCTAAACATTGGCAGTCAAAAGTTTTCACGGAAGAGGGCTTTAGGCTCTGTGCAAGTTCTTTTCGGCTATTGCCATCTAATAAGTTAGAATTAGTCTTTGCAGTCTTTGTCTATTACAACGTTATTATTGGTACAGCCGTACAGTAATAGTAGGGGGTGTTTAGGGAAGCTAGTCAAAATCGACATGCTACCTAAAAGGGCAAATTAAGCACCTACCAATTCACTGAATTCAGAATACAAAGGATGATATAATAAATTTGATATTATTCTATTCATGGATATTACAAAAAATTTAGTCCTCATAATACAAAAATTATTCTTGACTCAACCACGTGTGTTATAGTGTCCTGGTTGTACTCTTCCTCGATATGCAACAAATAAAACCTTAGGAGTTTTTTCTGAATTGAAAGTATCTCAACCTTGTTAAGGCTCATGTTTCTGTTCATGCGAATTCCATTACTCTTAAATAGGCAAATTAGTTAGAGAGGATATTGATGAAAAAGGGAAATCCAATTTCACTATATCATCTTAGGCAAAAATCCAGAGAACAAAGGACGAAATGGAAACTCAACTACTTAGCTTACATTTTACTTACTAGAATATATAACTAATTATCAGGATTAAATTCTCCTTTCTAATCTTTTTCCCACGTTTAGTGAATCCAAGCCACTCATGCATATATTATATGTGCATTAATTTAACACCCACCGCCACCAGTCACACATTGATCAGTAAATATCAAAATTGAAAACAATTGGGTGCATGAAAGCTGAGAACTGATACATATCATTGAAAATTGAAGTTATAGTCAAATGCATTTAATATTTTTCCTGGCAGCATGCATGAAACCATGAATGCTTTGGGAAGTATAGGAAACAACTTCTATTCTAGCTATAAATAGCCAAAACCAGCTCAATTTCTTAGACATACCCTGCCCTGAAGCTTTTTAAAAATATTAGAGTTCTTTTAAACTGATTTGGATTATGGATCACAAAGGTAGTGGCAGTGTTGGAGGTGGTGCTACCGGCACAGCTGGAGGTGGAAACAATACTCCTAAAGACAACATTGGTAAGGGTTCTACTTCTGCTGAGGTGATGAAAGCTCCAGGTGGAGATGGATCGTACATTTCCAGGGATGATTTTGAGAAAAACCCTCAGGGCTATTTTTCTGGTTTGCATGCTGCACAAAAGGACAACAACAACAACAACAACAACAACAAGTAGTAGTTGCATTTTGCAATGAATAAAATTGATGTCGTTATTGGCTTTTATGGGATATGGTTCTGTAGAATGGCTCAGTGCTAAGGAATAATAATCTTTTTGTTTGTTGCCTATAGGCACTACTCTCTCATATATAATAAAGCACTCAGCTTTTTTTAGTCCCTCTTCTATACTTTTTTTGTCTCAAATTTTTCTGTTGTTTCTTATTGCGTGCCTGGTTTTGTTAAATTCTTGCGTGGTGACGAATTGCTATTTTGGTTCCCTCTAATCAGGTGTCCACATTATCTGTTTGCAGTTTTCCAAAGAGACAAAATATAAGTGTAATGAAGAACTTAGTTAAAAAAATTCAATTAAATTAAGATTATTTTTAAAGTGCCTGAGTGTTATTTAAAGAGCTGTTTAATACCTGTTTGGTTTTATTATTATTTATAAAAAATATATATTTGATAGAAATATTATAAAGAAATATTTAATAATACTTTTTTTGGAAATTAAATATTTAATTATATTAAAATATCTAAAAATTTATTTAATGAATCTTACTCAAGAATAAATTCTTCAAACTTGATTATGTGGAAGAAATAATAACGCATGTGACAGCTAAAGCGGCAATTGTGATGTCAAGAATACTGGATATAGTTTATTAGTTTGAAGTGAGTGTAGAGAATTTATAAAAATAAAATAAATAAAAAGAAACTAAAATATTTTGTTCAATTTTTTATTCTAAAAATGAATTTATAGAACAGTGAAATAAAATAAAATAAAAGTAGTCAAATAAGATTTTTCAGTGGTTTAATATTTAAATAGAATTTTTTTTTTTTGAGATATTCCAACCGGTTCATCGTTTCGTGACTAATTCGATTCGGGGCGGGTCTCGGCCGGGATAAAGACTTTAAATCCCTCCCAAATACGGTACTGCAGAGACTCGAACACATACTCTCACTCTCACCTACTCAGTTCCCAGACGCCAACTAAACTACCTAATTTGGTAAAAAAAAAATCCCCACGTAATAAAATTCTTTTTGAAAACCAAGAATCAATCGAATACATGCTCTCACCTCTACTTAAAGTTTTTTTATTACTTACCCCCTAACTTGATTTTCTATCCACAACTAAAATTAATAGAGTTAATTTTTTTTAAATACCAAAACTACCCTTAAAACAAAAAAAGAGAGTAGAAGATAACGTTGGGGGTGTTTGTATAAAAGATTTCTAACTTACACATATGAAAGTGTCAGAATTTGTTTTCACTCAAAAAATTTCATTGATTCAACACACACACACAAACTCAAAATTCGAAATAAGCATTGACCACCAAAAAGAACACGAAAAAGATCCAGTTCATCATAAAGGGTGGGTTATATTGTGTAAGAGATGGCGTTTGAAGGGAAAGAAAAACAGAAGGGTCGTCAAATTAAAACATAAACACAAAGTATCACAGAACCACAAGCTAGACAAAGATAGATACGCACCCAGATTTACGAAATCCAATATACAACAATTACAAATTTTTCTCCTCTTCCTATTTCGGAGATGTGTAGTGTTGTGCTTTGTGTTCTCTTTCTTCTTCTACAGTAATAAAAAAAAGGTTATGACACATCAGATGAAAACAAGGCAACGCAAGCCACATCCACAGCTCAAGGGTTCTTCTACGTTTTTTTTTGTTTTTTTTTTTAAGGGTAGTTAAGGTATTTTAAAAAAAATAACTCCATTAACTTTATTTTTGGATGAAAAATTAAGTTAGGACATAAAAATTTTTTAAGTAAGATATAAATAATTCAAAATTTTGAAAAGGGAATACGTGATTCTAGAACAAACTTATGGAGTTTTTGAAGTTTTACATTATATATACTCAAAGGATCTTTAATCATTCCTCGTTAGGCTTATGCTGGCCATCACCACCTCCATCTTTGTTGCTACCCTGCCACTATCATAGTTGGCGGAGAGTCCTTCAATTTTTAAAATTTATTTTTGAAATAAACTCGAATGAGTTGTTTTTTCTATTTTATATTTTAAATTATTTATCAAAAAAATTCTATTAAATATTTTTTTTTAAAAAATAGAACCAAACAGGATTTTTTTTTTCATGACAAGGGCCTAGCCCGGTAAAAAACACACACACACACAAAATATGAGATGAATTTAAAGTGAATAAATGAACCAAATAGATCTTAAACAGCTCTTTAAATTTAACCATAGTAAAATTTTGATGAAGGTTATACTTACAACCAATTTTCGTTTACAGTTTCTTACAATTATATTTTAACTGTTGATTTTCTTCAATCAACGGTTATTATTTTCGTAAATCAAATTCATTAATTAATTATTATTTCACAATAAATGATAATCGTTAATTGACGAAAATCAACGATTAAGATATAGTTATAAGAGGTTGTAAGTATACCATTCCTTTAAAGTTTTTGTTATCTTTTTTCTTATAACTTGTAAATACTTTTTTTTCATTTATATAAAACAAAGAAATAGAAATTGGATAAGTTTCAGAAAAAAAAAATATTTGCAATATAACTTTTTTTTCTGAAGTTTCGATTTTTTACTTTCGAGAGAAAAGCACTAATAATAGTTTTTTTTTTTTTTTAAGAAAAGCTTATTTAAATATTATAAATATTTAAAGCATTTTTTAATCGAAAAAGTATTTCTTTTTGAAAAAAGTACAAACAAATGGGTATTACAGATAACAGAAAATTTATTTTAACTAGACCAAATTAAGATTTAATCATGGATTACATGTGTATAGAAGTGGGCACAGTAGTGGCTTGGCTTGCGTATGAAATTTTAAAATGCTTAAAATTTAATTTAAATGTAAAAAGAAAAAATAGGAATGCTAATGCTTTAAAATTAATGATGGCTAAATTCTATACCTGTACTGTTACACAATACGAGAGTCCACATTTATCTTCACATTTGTATCTTTAGATATGTTAAACATTTTTGTTTTGGGGCCATATTTAATTCCGTGATTTTCCGATTTTTCTAGAGACTTTATGGATCATTTCTACGATTTAACCTGAAACTCATATACACTAATTAAGTATAAAAATGAAAAATATTATATAAAAATTATTTTTTAAAAAAAATCTATACATTAAATGTTGTACTTTTTTATTATTTTTTATTTGTTGATTTTTTAACAAATGCCTCTCTCTAGTAGGACCTTTTTTTCTAAAACAGTTCCAACATGCATAATTGTCCCAATATATTTAACTACCCGCGGCCATTTAGATCCGTTATCCCTTGGGAAGTATGAAAGATATTGAGAACCACATACAGGTCATCCCATTGAAAATTGAAATTCCATTTAAATACATTTGAAAATTTTCGTGGTCATATTTTTGAATTCAAGCCTTCTTTGGGAATTATGAGAGGCGTTTTAATTATTTATATCATCATTAATTAAGAGTAAGTATTTCACCCTTAAACATTACTACTAAACAAATCTTTACCATTTTTTTTCTATAAATAGCCAACCACATAAGATTGTTTTCTGTATCCCTTTCTTAGTTTTTTCTTAAAACCTTTTAAAGACTAACTTTAGCGTGTGTCTGTTGTGATCATTTGAAACATGGGGGGCAAAGGTGGTAGTGGTGGTGGTGGCAAAGGTGGTAGTGGTGGTGGTGGCAAAGGTGGAAGTGGTGGTGCAAAAGGTGGAGGTGGTGGAAACTCCAAAGGCTCAGGTGGCAGTGGCAGTGGTTCTGGGGGATCCATGAAAGCACCTGGTGGTGATGGATCATACATCTCACGTGGTGCATTTGAGAGCAATCCTCAGGGCTACTTTAGTGGTCTGCATGCTTCGGAAAAGGGCAATAAGTAGTGCTATTAATTTGTTCTAATATTGTGTGTTGGCTGTTTACATAAATGTTATGTAACTGTGGTGGTTATTTATGTCACTATCGATCATCACTATAAATAAAAACAGTCTCTTATTGTTATTCCTTACTTTATGATATCTCCTTGTCAAAGTCTTCGTTTGAAAAATATTACTTTTATATATATTTGGTTTATCTCATTTTTCTTTTATGTCTATTTTTATGGGAGAGAAAATGAAAAAGAGAAACACATAAAGCATCATTTGCGATAACATTCAATTAAGAAAGTACGTAGAAAATGTCAATTAAGAAGAACAAGAAACACATAACATTCATTTGCGATATCTTATTTCTTATTTCTTCTTGTTTATTCTATGTATTCATAATTTTATGAGTAAGTGCAATATATGCCGTCTAAAAATAAAGCATCGATCTCAATCATCAAAATAATAAGATAGTATCCTTCCCTTAAAAGATGCTAATATTACGGAAGTGTAAGACTCGTTTTGAACTTCTTTTAAATTTCTGTTAACATCCCCTTCGAAAGAAAATGTTATACTAATTATTACAAGGAACTTAGCTTCTGAAACGAAAATATTATATTAAATTGAGATGTTTACGAGATACTGCAGTCTCTTTGTTTTTTTTGTTTTTCATAAGGGAACAACTATTATCGCTTATTACTTTTTAGTATTTGTAATTATTTAATGGGATTAATATTTTTAATGTTATAAGAAATAATATTATCTCCAGTACATACATTTAAAATATATGAGATCCATATTTTTTTTTCTCTCTCTTCTCTTCACATGACCTTATATAAATTTTACATATTTTTATATATGTGTAGGAAATAAAATTATTTTATGTAAATCATTAATCCCTTATTTAATTAGTATTATCGTTGGATTATCTTGTTAGTATTTTTTTAATTTTTTTTTTGGGTAAACAGGACCATTAAAATTTGGCTCACGTTTCCTTAGGTGGCTGCCTCGTGAGTCAGCAAATAAAGCCAATCGTGGATACAGGAGTGTACTTTAAACTTGATATTAGTAAACATAGTTTAGAAAACGAACAAAGAAAATGATAATAAATAACACTTATATTAATTCTTATGTTATGTATTGGCTTGATGGGATTGGCTCTGACCTTTGGTAGGTGCATGTCATTGTTAACTTATGAGTTAACAACAATTTGAGAAGAATAATTTCTTAGTTTCACTGTAAAACCCATCCAGGCCTGTAATTACCACCCTGCATCTTTAGCCTTAATTAGACCTTAATCATTCCTCAACTTGGCCTGCCTTTAGAAATAGAAAACAGTTTGAGATTTTCTTGGGGTGTGTATGACAATTAAATTTTTTTTTTCTTTATAATTTCTGGAAAAAATAATTTTTTTCTATGTTTAAGAAAAAAATTTAGGCATAAATATGTTTGATAACAGTTTATTCTATTCCTAAAAAAAATAAAGTATATATTTAATAAATAATTTATATTTAATGTTAATAACGTATTTTATAATGTATATATTTATTAAATATTATTTTTTATTTCTTCGCTACGATATCAGCGGTGGAACTTCATCTAAATTTTTGAGGGGCATAAGCTTCTTGATTTCTTTTGTGACAACGACAACCCCACCATAAGGAGTAGCTAGAAAAGGCTCATCTGTGTATAGTTCTATGTTTCTTTGTTTATATTCTGGTAGGTTATTAACTTTAGGAAAGGAATCCAGAATAATTGGGGAATTGATAAAGATAGTTAGGAAATTACTAGAGTGCTAAATGCCTTCACAAACAAAGTGCACTACATGTATTCACATGCCAAAAGCAGGTCTCTTGTTTTATGTAATTACAAATTTACAATCAGTGGCTTTTAAGTTTTAAGAGAGAACAAAATTATATATTTTAAAATTTAAAACTACAAAAAAAAAAAAAAAAAAAATTGTGAAGGTGCAAAGTATTCCGTGGCGTATATTATAGTTTATTCATGAATGTTTACTTAATAGTTAAGCTTTTATTGAAAAATTGATCCTTTAACATGGTACCAGAATATTTATGAACAAGGGATTTCATTTTGGGGGCGCACTCTAGGAAGCGAGGAGAATTGATGATGACTTCTTTTTAAACTTTTATTATTATTATTATTATTATTATTATTATTATTATTGTTATATATAAAATAATATTTTTGTAATAATAATAAATTATTAATATTAATATTTAGCCCCTAGCTCTTTGAAAAAAATAATTACTCCATTCTATTATTCTTAATAATATTTGTAATTTTAATATTTTATTTTCACAATTTTTTTTTTAAAAAAATTGAACCCGCCATTAGACTCCATTTTTCTAACACAGTAAAAATGAGCCTTCTTATATATGTAAGTAAGGTCCACCTACACTCACTTAGTATCATGAAAATCAAGTTTACTATATGTAAAGCAGACAGACACGAGACTATTTACTGTGGTTCGGGGTACTATTGTTTGGGTGGTGCTTTAATGTAAATGAAATGGTAAAATTAGAAAAGAAAAAAAATAACAGGGATAAAAGGGGGGGATTGAAGTTATGAGAAGGAGCACCGGATTATTAGGTGATTCTGGATCATAAAAAATATTTCTGACAGACAGTGGCTAACTACGCCCTTGAGTACAGGTGTAAATGGATGTAGTTTGCTGAAATTTGACTTAAATAAATTAAATTTGTATAAAATATTTTAGGTCTGATCTCTGTTAATTTTGTATAGGCTCAAATTATAGATCTAGTCTGACCTATATTTAAAAAACAAAAACTTTGACCTAGACATGTTTAAACCTATAGGGCAGGATATACTTACCACCACAAAAATTTACAACCAATCTAATCACCGTTGATTTTCATCAATCTAATGGTTATAATTTATTAGATTTATTGGTAATTAATAATTAATTAATAAATGCGACCCAATAAATTATAACTATTACATTAACGGAAATCAACGGTGATTAAGTTGGTTGTAAATGGGATAAAAAAATTTAATGGTAAATATATCCTGCCCTCTAAACTAAACCTATTAGGCATTCAATAATTTAAAAAAAAAAAATAATAATATTACTTTATTATATAAAATTATTAAAATAAATTTTATTTATAAATAATAGGGAAAAGTTCACTAATGCCCCTGTGGTTTGCTTCAGAATCATTTATGCCCCTGTGGTTTTTTTCCTATCACATATGCTCCTGTGTTTTGTAAAAAATAAGAAACCACAGGGGTATATGTGATAAAAAACATACCCTTTTACAAACCACAGGGGCATATGTGATAAGAAAAAAATCACAGGGGCACAAGTGATTCTGAAGTAAACCATTGGTGAACTTTTCCCTAAATAATATAATATAGAGCGATATACAAGTTTATAGGCCCGACATGTAAATAAAAATCTATGATCTACTTTCTAAATAGGCTTTTTTAAAAGCTTGAATTTGTTCTACTTGACTATATATATATATGATAGGACAAACCTATTAGGTCAAATCTACCCTGATATAAGCTGAGCCATAAATCCTATTAAGCCGTCTGGCTCATTTACGGTCCTAGCTTGATTTTGAGTTGGGGATTCATTGTCTGGATCATCTTCCTCTTGGTTGTACGAGTTTATCACTTGAGGTTCATGCTAGTGTCTCCTTAATCGGGAGTGTTTTTTTTTGTTAGGGACCTAAACCAAAATAACAAAAAGTGTAAATTTTCTTTTTAGGATATCCCAAATAATACATGATAAGAAGCCCTTCTTCAAACCACGGATTATATCAGTTCTAGGCTATGAATACATATGATTCTACCCTAAAAATTAATCCAAATAATACAGAAGATACAGACAACAAGAGGATATGGTTCTTAGATATCTTATCACTTGCATATATAAACAAGGAAGGACACGAGGCAGATGCTAAGAGAACCAATAAGAAAGACAAGCCCAATTGCACCACATGCCAAACCCATAATCTCTGCAGCCTGAGATATCATAGAATCTCTCCTGTACTTAGGGTCATAATTATGCTTATAATTCCACCCACATGTATGTATAAGCTTTTCCCTTTTTCTCACTTGTTGAATTCTTTCCCTTAAGACACTCAGGTTTGCATCAACAATGTTTGCTGGCTTCCCTGCCAAAACAATCAGAAGATTAATCAAAAACCACATTAGTACAATAGTTGTAACAAACTATGTTTTTTTGGAATAGTGAAAAAGCTGAAATAATTGAAGAGAAAGACAAGGATTTGTTGAAAAGAACAAACAAGTCAGAGGATTATTTTGTGCTATTCATGAGCATTAAAGTCATCTTCTTGTGCAAATGCAGTGTACATTCAATTTCCTTTGTGCTGATAGGAAGCAGAGTATCTATTACCATTGTCCCTAAAACTTTGGGATCTTATTTTGGGGTATTGGAAGAACTTATGCCTGCAAAAAGCTTGGTTTAAGCTACACAAAGATGATAAAGAGCAAGCCATGAGGTTGGATGGACTTGCTTTTTTTGATTCTTGTATTTATAAAGGATCATCCACCTGCCTCGAGATTAAAACTTGATTTTGACACTAACATTTAGTGAAAGTAGCCATATAGATTAATATTTTATTCTAATATGTTTGATTCTCTCTAAGCTACAAGGTGTGACGTGCTTTGATTAAAGATTATAATAAGAAATTAAGAAAGAATAGATGAAAGTAGGAGTGTATGTGTATTGTTCCGAGGACTACACATGGCACCTAGCTTGGCTTTTATTACATTGGAGATTTAGATATTATACAGAAACAGCTCACTGAGATCTGCCAGTATCACATGATAAGAGTACTTGTGTTTGATGCGGGCTACATGTCCATGCCACCAAGTTATTAGGTAATATAAAAAGTATAGATATACATATATTTGAAATAAAGGTGTGGGTTGGTGTTGATTATAAACCTCAAAAGGAAGAGATTATATAATAGAGAATTGGTGTTGGGCTAATTATTTATGTCATGTCATCTGATCTAAAAAGTATTTTATTATATGTGTTCTGTCTTCGAGACAGAGATGTCCAGCCCAATAGGCTGATATGTTGATCTTGGATCTAGTGTCCTCTCCAAGGTATCTATGAATGAGATATCCTTGAGTCAAGCAGATCACTGTGCACAGAATACTATAACGGCATTAGCCAATGGGGTGTGTGTGCGCGCACAGTGACAACATATCAGTAAGAGAGAGCTTACCTTACCTTTAAGGTTTACCTTGTATTTATAGAGGTTACCTGTGGGTAGTGTGGATGGCCCTTTGGTGCCTCTGATAAGGGCCCAGGCTTGCTGGCTATGCTGTCGTATTAGAATTAATATCCTTGATGAATATCTATTACTTGTTAATATCAATCCGTATCTTGGATTGCCCCTTGTTAGACTTACCACTTAATAGGCCCATTATATGGGTCCATAACAATCTGTATTAATATTGAATTTATAAACATTTATAGTGACCTGTGGCATTCTTAATTTGAATGTTAACACTTGTCCTGCCTTGTTAATTAACACCGAAATGGCATAACCTGATCATGCAGGTCCTCGCCACTTATCACACATTTTTCTTTGACTCTTGAAGATGGCCCAACAATTAGGCTGGCGTTGCATTTAACTTGAGTTCCAATCCTTATCATCATGACCAACGCAACCAAAGTAGTAAGAGATCGATCATTAGAAAATTTTCATATTGAAAGTGAGACAACCTTCATCTATGCAGCTTGCTATGTTAATCCCAATGTGTAAGAGTTTATCTAGTAATTTCCTAATACAAATTTTATATCTGTCAACAATGAACTAAATTTCACACCTAAATGTGATGAGTTCTTTTTTCTTTTTCTTTTTTAAGTCATGGCTTATGAGCTTAGTCCTATTTTTATTTTATTTTTGGTACAAGATGCTTAATCCTATTTAATTAACGAGATTAATGACTATTCTACTTAATTTCACTCATGTGATAAGCCTAGGTTTGATTTGCCATTTGATACCTCCAAGATTTGTCAGCCAACATGGCAAAAGCAAAGGCCTCAAAGAACAAATGAAACACAGACTAATAAAGCAAACAGCTAATCATATTGCTTTATAGTGAAAGTGAACATTTTATATGTGAACTTTTTTCAAATTTCAAATTGGTTATACCTTTTCCTTCTATTTTCAAAAAGTTAATGATGTCGTAACTAATTACACTCTCAGTGAGAAACATACACGCAGATACAAACCCACAACCAGGTTTGTATATGTTATTTATAAGCATCTAATATGATCCAGTTGGATCCAGACGCGTCACCACAAATTTGAATTGCTACCTTTATTACTTTATGAAACGTATCTAATTATCAGGAACAAGTTCGTTAATAATACATTAGTTGGTAACACAGGTTGAGAAGAATGAGAAAAGAATCTGAGTTTGATTCTCGATCCCATAAAATCATATTTGGAAAAGGGTGATGAGCTTTAATTGTGATTAAAACCTTGACTCGGGATTAATTTCGCAACCGACTAGTTGAAATTTATAGAGATATCAACTCGTCTCAAAGATATAATTAGAGTCAATATACTTAAAAAAAAATTCGCTAGTATTATTCACATAATTATTCAAGTTTATTATACGTAAAAGTCAATATAATAACCAGGTTTGTATTATTCACATAATTATTCAAGTTTTTTTTTAAATATCAATAACAGCTAGTTATGGAAACATCTCTATTCAGATCAAATAAAAATAAGAATAAATATATTTTTTGGTTCTCAGAGGCCCGTTTTAGTCCCTAGCAAATAAAAAGGCTCATCGTGATCCTTAAAAAATTTAAATTGGACCCATTTTAGTCCTTTTGAGGATTAATATGGCTCTTTTTTGAATTTGTGAGGGACCACGATTTCAACTAAATGGGTCTTTTTGAATTTTTGAGGGACCACGATTTCAACTAAATGGGTCCTTTTGAATTTTTGAGAGGCCACGATGGGTCTTTTTATTTGCTAGGGACTAAAACGGGCCTCGTGAAATTTTCTGAGGACCAAAAAAGGTATTTACTCTAAAAAGAATTAAAACAGCTCCAACATTTATTTGTTGTTAATCAATATATCCTTTTGATATAAATAATTTAATAACATTAATCATATAATAAGTTAACTCGTAAAGCTCTCCCTTTTTTATATGGATCAAATAAAAATTTGAAAACATTTTACTTTAAATGTTTATATTCATTCGAACCATATGTCATCCAAATGAGCAAACTTTTCTTTGTACGTATTTTTCATATAGTTTATATTTTATTGAATTCCTTTTGGATAATGCTTACTAGATGCCATTTAAATAGGCCTCGTTGGCTACCATGTAATCACTTCCAGCACTCGTGGCAATAGGCTAGGTAAATCACAAAATTTTCCTAGTGACCCAAACCACTAACCATGCCAATAAGATTTAGAGCAAGGCACAATCCTCCTATAAGATTCAGTTTAAGTCTGATTAGTTGGCACAAGAACACCAAACAATGTCATCTCAGCCAGATTCCTTGACAAATTCGCAACCGTATCTTTTTCTGGAGCGCACAAATGATAGTGGTGAGGACTTAAATCATGAAAAGAGAAGATAAAAGCAAAAGGAAAAGAGGGATAAAATTACACTTGTTATTCTCCGAAGATTGTGTGAATGGTGACAGGAAATATATCTTAGTTAAATATTCTTTGCTTTTTTCTTTTTCTCTCCACTTGGTTAATTAGTCTGATCATCTGATGGACACGTATGCCACCACTGATGAACTACTTTTCATCAATTGATGTAACCAAACTAATATAAATTATTTGTCAGTAAAAACATTACTAATATTTTATCCAAAAAAAAAATCATACTAATATAAATATAATCAGTATAACAAGGAAAAAGATAGGTGAAAGTCGAAGAGTACAGCCAAAGGAAGATAAATGAAACTTTTTGGAAACAAAATAATTAAAAAACGATATGTGTAACCGCGCGAGGCTTAACACAACACATTCACATTACCCATCTTGCGGTCTCAACACATTGCTCAATGAACAAACTGTTTAGAGTCCACCGAAAACAAAATAGGGAGAGAAGCACCATTTTCAGAGGAGTGTAACCGAATATTCAACAATCGTATCTCCAATTCCAAATAAGTATGTTTTTGTATTATTACAACAGAGGTGTCCTAACTACGATTAGTTATATGCACACACAAAGATACAGACTCCAAATCTACAATGTGCATTCGAGGAAGATACAGATGCTAAATCTACTATATTCATACGGGAAGATACAAATGCTGCAAAGAAACCATAGTAGCATTTGTAGTAATAATATGTAGATCTACGACTCGGGCCCCAGAGAAACGATCTTCAATTTACAGAACTACACATCTGAAGTAATCTTATATTACAGAACTACACACAGGAGGTTGAGAGTCTTGATATGCTGACATAGTAGATGCAGTATTGACTCATATATCCATGTCAGCAAATATTTCTTCGTCCTCATCGTGTATCTCGTCGATAAGAAATCCATCAGTAATCCAGTTACTGCCACAAACAGCATTGCGTTAAGGATGAATATAGATGCAAGCAAAGAGTAGAACAAATAGCATGTTTGGCTTTAACTAAATTTTGGAGAGAGAATGTACTAAAAAAAAAAATTGGAGAAGCTTCCTTTTTTAAATAAAAAACTCTCTGCAAGCTTTTTTTTTTTTTTTTTGGTGAAACTCTCTGCAAGCTTTTGATTATAAGCCGATTGGAACGCAAAATAATCTAATCTAAATACACATCAAGACACTTGATGAAGAGTATGAAATCTTCAACCCACCTAAAACAGCTGAAACGGAAAGTCACAATCCGTTTAAGCTTCCTATTATAAAACAAGAAATTAAAGGACCATCTGTAGAAAACAGAAAATAAAGTTATTATATATAACAGGCAAAATGATGGTAACAACAGTTCTAATTTTAAAACGTATGTAGTAATAATAACTACTTTACATTGCTCCTCTCTCAAGTAACGGATCTGCCTCAGAATCAGGGACATAACCATATATTTCGCAATCCACTAACTTCACCACCTGCATCACAAGGTATCATAAAAATGCCTCTTGATCTCATTTCCATTAACTTTTTAAAGGAAACTCACCTCATCAAGGGCCTTGAACAAGGCGTCTAGCAGTGAAACACCACCAACAGTTTCAACCCATTCCTGCAGTAGACAAGTCAACCAAAACAAAAGGTAAGAAAATCAATGTAGCGAAACTAATCATTACTCTGAAGTAACAACATATGAGAATTTTTGCACAAACCAATGAATCACGGACAAAAATGAGACACACCATCGTCAATGTCAAAAATGGAATATAAGGGACCATAGGTGTCTCAAATGCACTCTATCCAGCAAACATATTCATTGTGTGGGTTCTTGTTATGCCTTTTCCAATCCATGACAACCCTAAGGATGGAGAAGTTCTACATACTATGAGAGTACTACACTATTCCGGCAAGAATGTAACGTGTGGCACCACAAAAATATATAGGCGTTGGGTTGAAAATAAAATATTATTAAATTAAACTTAAACCGTAACAAAACTACTCGAGTGTGTGTTCTTTTCACTCTATTTATGCCTACCTCCCACCTTTTTCCCCTTCTCTTATAGCATAACCTCATCCATTTCCTTCAACTCATTCCAAATCTCTCTCCATTTATAGCCTGTCACTTGTATTCTTTCTAACCCACTTCCCTTCTTTCTTCTTAACAGAGATTTCTTGGTGTTAGTGTTGATTGTTGCCTCTCCATTGGACTATTGATGGGGAAGAGGCTTGATAATTTTTTTTATGAATTTCCATTTTACTCTATGATTATTAATTTATAAATTGATAAAAAAAAAATTATATAGAACAATGAGAAATTTTGCTACACATAAATATTTTTTATTAATAATATTAGGGAAAAATATTTATCCTCTTAAAGGATGGTCATTTTTAGTTAAAACTTAAAACTAATGTTTTTTTATTTAAAAATAAAATTAAAAAAAAATCCCACTTTCTCCCCCTATGATTTCCATTGTGTATTTCTTTCTCTCACTTAAAATAACATAATTCTACCTCTGGATTTGAGATCACTACTTGTATACTCGGTATTGGCCATAATTTACAAGAACAAACACTAATCTCATAATATTATTATCATTATTGTTACGAAATAACCTTACAATGTTAAGTTCTTATGTTATTTAAAATTCATAAACAACATGGTATATTAATCTATACTACTTAAAAGAGATTGTCCCCTTTAACTACTTTAGAGCCCGTTTGGATGAGCTTCCAAAAAAATTGCTTTTTATACCTTATTTATTTTAAAAGTTCTTTTTATAAAAGATAAAGTTATTTAAATTTTAAAAAAAAATATTTGGATTTTGAAAGAAAAAAAATTGACTTTTAACTTCTGCTTTTTTTGTGACTTCTGTTTTTTTTTTTTTTTTGAAAAGCGGGCATCCAAAAACTACTCTTCCCTCGCTTTTTTCCCTCTCTCGTTAAAAAAAATATGGTTTCAATATTTTCTTTTCAATTATTATAATGATATTAAATATTTATAATAATATGATTAAAAAATGAAAAAATGTGGATTTTGCCTATCATTATTAGATCTTAAAATATTTTAGAGCATTTTAAAAGATCTATTAAAAGTGATTTTCATATTTCACGATCGGTTTCTTGATTTCATTAAGATTAGGAGTCTTATATTAATATTGTTGAATAACAAGGAAACAAGAGGCATATGTTAAACTCCATGGGTCTCGTTAGGACAACCAAGGCTCTGTTATTTACATTGACCATAACAATAATTATGATGTGGGACTTCATCCCTCACGATATTATCGACCTTTTTCTTGATATATGATGCACTTCCCCTCAACCAGGAGCACATAAATCATATGCGCCAAGCTTATGACCTATTCGAGGACTTAGTGAAGACATCTGCTAGTTGATCATTTGAATTGACAAAGTGGGTGACAACTCTCTTGGTACGATCTTCCCTCTAATGAAATGAGAATCTATCTCAATGTGGTTTGTTCTCGTGAAAAACTAAATTGGATGCAGTATGGAATCCAACTTGATCATCACAAATGAGTGTTGCCAGCACATTGTCTCCAAAATTGAATTCTTTTGAGTAGCTATTTCAGCCAAATGATTCACAAGTAATTGAGACCATGGCCTAATATACTGCTTCAACATTGGAAATTGCAACTACACTTGTTTCTTACTTTTCCAGGAAATTAAGTTATCTCCAATGAATACACAGTACCCTGAGGTTGATCTCCTTTCAATGAGACATCTTGGCATCTGAGTGTCCAACAATCAGAGTATGACCTGTATGTCCATAGATAAGACCTCCTTCGGGAGTTGCCTTAATAATATATTTGAGGATACGAATCACTACATTGCAATATTCTTCATAAGGAGAACTTAGGAATTGACTTACCACACAGACAACAAATAATATCCAGACGAGTGACTGTGAGGTATCACAAGGAGAACTTAGGAATTGACTTACCACACCAACAACAGATGATATGTTTGGACAAGTAACTATGAGGTAATTCAGTTTCCTAACTTAGCTTTTGTATCTCTCTGTATCTAAGAGTTACTCCCCTTTGATTTGACAGAAGCTTGACATTGGATCCATATAAGTGTCAATTAAGTTTTGCATTCAACAATGTTGTTTACTTAAAAATGTCCATGACATAATTCCTATAGGATATTATAATACTATCTTTGGATTGAGCCACCTTTATCCCTAAAGAGAAGTATCAAAGTTTTCAAAGATTATTTGTCTAAAAGTGATGATAGAAATGTTTTACCTGAGTTATGTCATAAAGATCATTGTCTGTAATGACTATCTCACCAACATACACCACTAAATCAATTCACCATGAATCTAAATGGCATAGAAGACCGAGTGGTCAGCCTCACTATGAGTCAAACAAAGTCATCGAACCATTGTGTCAAATCTTCCATACAAAGCTCTAAGTCATATAAAGAAGACAAACTATGCCATAAGACTCCCCCTGAGCAACAAACCCATCTTCTTCAAACATAATCACCATCGAGGAAACGATTCTTGATATTCAGTTGATAAAGGGCTACTGACAAATAGCAACCATAGACAAAAAAAGCCATTTCGGGAGAAGGTGTCCCCATAATAAAATCCAAAAACTTGTGTATACCCTTTTGCCACCAATTGAACCTTGAGACTATCCACTTGACCATCAAGCCAACAACCGACAACAATGTTCCCATGAGGAAGAACAACATGTTGAAATGAGAAGCATATGTTGAAACCCATTTGTCTCCATAGCAGAGCAAAAACTCTATTGCATACACGACTATAACAATTACATATCAATAATTAAACAATGTGGGCCTTCATTTCTAACAATTTTATCAACCTATTTACAATATTTACAACAATTATTATTAGAAATTAGTGCTTTGTGTTTTGTATCACATCATTATACACAAATGTGTATTACTCAAACTATTTGTTCTCTCCTTTTCTCCTTACCTAAACCCTAAAATGTAAACATGGCCTCAAAGTGATACCTCCCTTTGTGACCTATATTGTCACTATTCCGATGTCACATGAAATCTGAACTCTGTTATAAAGATGATTGTATCTATATAACTCTTTTCTTCCCATTGGTAATTTGGTATTGCACAAATTCCGACCATTTTTCTTCATATTCAAATTCTTTGTCCCTTCCTCTATACTTCTGTGATTGTCATCTTAAATTTGTGCTTTTAAAGTCTATTTCTTCTCCGACCAAACTCACCATGGTGTTCGCCATCCCAAACTCAGCCAATCACTGAGTTTCATAGTAAGGATGCACTGCCACCTGTTGGTCGTTGGATTATGCATGCTCAACCTTTCTCGCGTGGGAGCACGCGCTGCCCATTTTTTGGCTAACACCAACTCCAAAAGTATTCCCTAATCATCTTTGACCAAATTCAGCCCCTCTTGCCCCAATTCACCACTGTCCTACGGTTGTTTGCATCCCTTTGGCTGCATTCTTTGTTGTAGGTTTGTTCTTCCATTTGTAGGTTTGGTATGTTTGGTGCCAATCTGTCATGGTGTGCTTCATTTTGGTAGCCATTTCATGGTCTGAATTGTTTCTTCACTGCATTTACTATTGTTTGGTTGCTGGTGTCTGAATTATTCTTCGATGTTGATCTCTTCTCATTGATCACTGTTGTTAAAACGTCAAGTCAACTCGGTAGAAACAGCTGTTTCTACATTTTTTGGTCCAAAATCGTGTTGAAACGGAAACTGAGTTGACTCGATTGAAACGACGAGTCAATTCGGTAAACTCGATTGACTCGGCGAGTTTACCGAGTCGACTCGATATTTAAAAATCAGAGATAAGGGGGAGGAGGAGATTCCGCCGTCGTTGACTCTGACTTCGTCGTCATCCTTGCCGCTCTTCTCTGCACTCTCATCTGTGTTCTTGGTCTCATCGCCGCTCACGTTGCGCCTGTCTCTGCCGCTTACGTCTATCCTCCACTACTGCTCCTTTTCCTCCTCCAGTCGCCGCAAACAAAGGCATCAAGAAGAAGGTTTTGCGCTCTCTTCCGATGCTCACAAGACCACCTCCTCCTCCTTCACTTCTCCTTGCAAATCCTTGTGCTTCGGATGTTTTGCAAAAATACCCAGACAGAGAAAAAGAGAGAAAGAGAAGAGGAAAAGATTTTTTGATAAAGGGCAACTACTATTGAACTGTGGAAAAAAGAGAGTAAGAGAGAGAATATATTTTCAATGAGCCATAAAGATAGAAACTGACAGAGGAGATGACTTTTCATATATCATTTTACACAAATTTGAAATCTTATCTTTTGCTATTCTTTATTATTATTATTATTTAAATTTTGTTTTCAATTAAATTTAAATTTTTATTTTCACTCTTTTCTATTTTTTTTATTTGAATATAATTAATAAAAATTAATTGTTACATACATTATTCTTAATAATTTGAAGTTTTTAATTAAATTTAATATTGATTTAGATATATATATATATATTAATTATAATTTTCTTTGATACATAGTAAACTCTTATGTTTCGTTTACATTTCACGATCACCCCTACTGTTTCTAGGTAGACTCTATGTTTTAACAACATTGCCATTGATGACCATTCTGGTGGCTTCTTTCTTCCCAATTGATGAATCATAAGTTCATAACTAGTACTGGCTTCTCTTCCCGTTTAGTCATTCCAATTCTTCCAAAAAGTAATTCTTCATGAGATGGACAAATATTAGTTCTTGTTGTGTATATCTACTTGCCAGGAAATTTCCGCCAATCATCATTCCAACAAAGTCCCTCTTCCTTGGCCATGCAACATACCACCCAGCTCTTCGACTAATGATGATTCCAGCCATCTTTCCAAGTTACCTCTCCAGTAATACTCACCTCTCCAGCGTCCCCAACATCCTTAAGTTGCCTTTCCAGTCATGTTTTATGGAGCCTAGTTTATATCTTTAATTCTCTATGTTATTTTCTTTTAAAGTGTTAATTTATAAATGCTTAAAGCTTAATAAACTTTAGCTTGAAGGGAAGTGTCAAAATATCTAGAAAATAGCTCATAAAATCATTATTGTACCTTAAAAATATTTTAAAGTATCTTAAATGTTCTATTAGTAGTGTTTTGCATATTTCATTATATTTTATGATCTGTTTCCTTACTATTCTGAGTCTAGTATTATTAAAAATATGCTTTAGTGCTTTGTACTTTGTATCAAAATATTCTACACAAGATCATATCATTCAGAGTCTTTATTCTTTCTTACTCCTTCCCTACCTAAAACCATAAGGAATTTTTAGAAATTGAAAGTTACATTAGATAATCAGGGGCAACCAAACACGGTCATCAAACATGCCAAGGGATGTAAAATATAATACCAAATATAGGAATCTTAAATAGTAAATACCCACAAATTTTATACCCAAGCATCTTATGCCTAAATATCCAAGATGCCTATAAGATTTCTGCATGCCAAACACCTAAGAGGAAATGCAAATAATAAGAAGAATTATTCAAACAAGAAATAGAGAATATTAATAGCACCACCTTTGAGGCTTCAAACATGTAGGTATCAAAAATCTGCTTAAAACTGTCCCATGATTCCTCTGTGAAAAACTGGTGAGCTTTAACTGCACTAAAGCCATTATAGGAGTATGGTATTATAGGAAAAACGAAAGCATGCAACAGCAGAAATTAAATAAATTTAGAAGTTAAAGCAAAACAGTCAACCATAAAAATGGCCAGCATAAGACTTGGGAAATGGAGAGAATTGAACTCTCAGCTCCTAGAGCAACAGTTTTCTGAACTGTCTGTCAAACCTTTTTGACAACACTCCCAGTGCAATAAAAAAGGATTACATAGTGGGTTGCCATGTTGACAACTACGCTGACAGTAGCATTACCCATAATCCTCCTTTTTATCCTATAGACAATACAGAAGCACTAAATAAAATTTAGAAGTTAAAGCAAAACAGTCAACCACATAAATGACCAGCATAAGACTTGGGAGTAGAGAGAATTGAACTTTCAGCTTCTTGAGCAACAGTTTTCTGAACAGTCTGTCAAGCCTTTTGACAACACTCCCAGGGCAATGAAAAAGGATTATATGGCAGGTTGCCATGTCGCCAACTAAGCTGATAATAGTGTTATCCATAACTTGGGAAATGGAGAGAATTGAACTCTCAGCTTCTTGAGCAACAGTTTTCTTAACTGTCTGTCGAGCCTTTTGACAACACTCCCAGGGAAATAAAAAAGGTTACCGATAGAATACCTCTAAAAATGTATTCTAGGAAGCGTCTCGGGAATATTAGTTAATGCTGACTCAGACAACGCGACCAATGACAATGAAGGGAATATTCTAAAGGATGATTGGGGGGGGGGGGCAATTCTGTTAATGAGGAGGGCAATTCTGTTGGGGGGGAGAGAGAAAAGGGTAACGGAGGAAGTTAGTTATGATTAGTATATGAAGGGAGGAGAAGAGGAATAAGGAACTAGGATGGAATTGGAATGGAAACTTGGGAGAGCTTCAGCACCTCTCGAATGTGCTGAACTTTAGCTTTTCTTCTTTTGAGTCTTTACTGTTCTTGTACTTGAATTCTGTAATTTCTTTTTCTTGTTCAAATATATAGAAAATCCAGATCCTTTCTGGCCCAAAATATCTCTTGTTTGCTTCTGTTATTTGGTTATTAGATCCGGTTCTATCAATTCCATAGTGGGTTGCCGTGTCGCCAACAAAACTGACAGTAGCGTTACCCATAATCCTCCTTCTTATCCTATGGACACTATAGAAGCACTAAATACAATTTAGATGTTAAAGCAAAACAGCACATAAATGACCAGCATAAGACTTGGGAAATGGAGAGGATTGAACTCTCAGCTCCTTGAGCAACAGTTCTCTGAACTGTCTGTCAAGCCTTTTGACAACACTCCCAGTGCAATAAAAAAGGATTACATAGTGGGTTGCCATGTCACCAACTAAGCTGACAGTAGCATTACCCATAATCCTCCTTCTTATCCTATAGACAGTACAGAAGCACTAAATACAATTTAGAAATTAAAGCAAAACAGTAACACACATATATGACCAGCGTAAGACTTGGGAAATGGAGAGAATCGAACTCTCAGCTACTAGAGCAACAGTTTACTGAACTGTCTGTCAAGCCTTTTGACAACACTCCCAGTGCAATAAAAAAGGATTATATGGCGGGTTGCCATGTCACCAACTAAGCTGACAATAGCATTACCCATAATCCTCCTTTTTATCTCATAGACAACACAGAAGCATCTCTGATACATCATAAGATACTGAGTTACCTGAAGTCATAATCTGGATACATGTGATAGAGGGTAAGAACCAGGTAAACCAATGTTCTTCGGCTGAAATGAACATATAATGAAAACATGTGAAAGAAACTTCAGTGATAATTTTCATTTCCCTAGTCCTTTATAGATAGTAAAGGCCACCTGGATCTGGAAAATAAGATTTCATCCGGCGAGGAAGAATCAGTGTCGGATGATTTCCCAAGATAATCAAGAATCTGAAATTCAAGAAGTTCAAAAAATAACTATTAAATTGGCCACGAAAGAAAAATTTTAATAAATTGAAGTAGGAATATTAGCTCGAATAATTAAGTTTAAAACATCGAGAATTAATTATATCCTCAATTCTTTTTTTAAGATGAGCCAGAACAGCTTCAGCTGCATCAATCTTGAGCAAAATTTACAGTGAACAAAGAGATTCAATCAATACGGCATCAGGTTACCTCATTCTCCAAACTGATAGAGAGTTTTTTATCAGTTCCAGCATGTTTGCCTATGGAAAAAAAAAACACTAAAATTGTTAATTACTACCGCAACCAAATCCAAAAATAAATGTTCTTGAAGTCACCAATTCCTCCTTACAACTATAAGCTTCAAGGCATCCTTTGATAGTACGCTCTCCAAGATTCAAATTACTCAAGAAATCGTTAAGCCTGAAAATGTTTTTACAAGACTCCATTATATACCAAAGTTATGTGATTTTATCACATAATTCAATTCAAACTAATTTGAAATTACAAGTACCGATCCAGAGGAGCACACTCCAGGAACTTCATGACGAATTATGTTCCAACGATTCCAATTCGGCCAAAGAGAATTGCAGCAAAAACCCTTAGTTTCCGTCTTTGCCTGGTGGCTCTCTCAGCGAGATAAACTCAATCAGAAATTATGAACGATTCGAAACAATAAATTGCATCCGAGCATTAGAGATGCATGAAACAGAGCATAACACACATAGTGGAGCTCATACAACAGATCAAAATCAAAATTACAAAGTCAAAACATGTCAAAATGAAAGAAATCTAAGCAGAAATGAATACAATAAAGAGCAATTGAAGTACCAGGGAGAAAGTGGACGAAGATTTGTTTGGTTTGATGATGCTTTAGAGAGGTCACCTGCGAATTCGCGATAACGAGGTTCGAAAATTTGGGGATAAAAATGGGGGTTTCGAAGCGGCGAAATTCGAATATTCGTTTTTTTAGTTTATCTGATTGAGATAAAGACACGTGGATGAGAGAGAATCTTAAATCCTGGCATAAGTTTGGTAGGAGAGAAAACGAGAAGTGGATGAGAAACCCAACCCAATTCTTAATATATTTATATTACTCTCGTTCAACTCGAGACATGTTGTTTATCTTACGGTATTATTTCTAAGGATATAAAATTGTGTTATTTTAAGTGAAAAAAAAAAAATCATGAAAAAAAGAATGAGTGAGGAAAGTTTTAAAAATATGAGTCTCACATCTTTGTGAGAGTGAAAGAATATAAGGTGTGTTATTTAAAATGATACACATTTTTTCCTTAAAAAAAATTAGAAGTTATATTACTTTCTCATGCAACTTGAGTATAATATAACCCTTAATAAATATATATATATATATATATATATATATATATACGGGAAAAATATTTCTCAAGCAGCTTGAGATAAGTTTATCTCCGGCCACCCCAAAACTACGTCGTTTTATTTATTTATTTATTTTCTTATATTAATTGATTCACCTTTGAATGATTATTATTCCCTTTTTCTCTCTCTTCCTTTATCACCATTTATCCATCTTTGTACGGTTATGATTTAGTAGTCGGAGATAAAATTATTTCAAGCAACTTGAGAAACTATAAACCCTATATATATATATATATATATATATATATATATATATATATATATATATATATATAAAAGGTAGGATCATTTGACATCAGTGTCAAATTCGAAATTTGACATCTCATCTGAGAGTCATTAGATCAAAAAAAATCAATTGTGTCATATGTTTACAAATTAGAGTCGTTGATTTTTTTTGATCTAATGGCTCTCAGATGAGGTGTCAAAGGATCCTACCCATCTCTCTCTCTCTCTATATATATATATATATGAGTTTTCATCTCTTATGTTATAAGTTATGTTGCGTCGACACCTGCATAGAACATAACTCGATACGACACGCCGACATATTAATTTTAAAAAATGTTAGATTTCGATATTTTTTATATTAAATATGGGAAAATAATTTCTGATGTGACTTTAGATAATTTTGTCTAATGTTCATCGAAACGACGTCGTTTTGAGGTTAAAAAATTAAAAAATTATAACGATAAAGACTATTATAACCCTGAAATAAATTAAAATTACAAAAACACCATAATTTCCGTCCCAAAACGACGTCGTTTCGATGAACATTAGATAAAGTTATCTAAAGTAACTTTAGAAAAAACAAATCCATTAAATAATATATATAATATAGCTTACATTTAGTACATATAGCAGCCCATAATAAGTCATATAACTAATCAAATATTCAAATTTTGTAATATAAATATAAAACAAAAAATAATTATGCTTTTTTTATTTTTCATGTCAAATTCCATAACAGAAAATGTTTTATTTATAGATATATTTTTCATGTTTAGTTAAAAAGATTAAAAAATTGGATAAAAAAAACATGGTGAAAAACTTTGATCGCGTATCGAAAAATGTTGACCGTATGTCCAGTGGTGGACCGAGAAAATTTTATTTATGTCTGCATATTTAATAGCGTTGAATTTTTTTTAATTTTTAAAAGCATTAAAAAACAAAAAAATATAAACAATAAAAGAAAAAAAAAACTTCAACTTAACATAAAATAATAACAATCCAGAGTCAACTAAGCTATCATAATTTCCAGCAATGATTATTTGTTAAGATTTTTATTTATATAGAGGCAAAATAATCTTGTCATATTTTTTATTATTATTATAATATTAAATATAATTATATATCCAATAAGTTTAATAAAACATTTGATAGAAACTCCAATAAATTTTAATAGTTTTGGTTATAAAGCCAACTTTATACCTAAAAGATGCATGGTTAGACATTTTCAACAACACACTAGCCAACTTTTTCATTTGTTCTTAACACTAATTTTAACCTTGGCATATTTTAAATCATCCATTGACAAAAAAAATTTCCCTACAAAAACTTGTGTCTGCAAGTAGAGCTGGCAAAAAGGGTCGAGCCCGCCGAGCCGGCCCGCCCCGCCCGCCAAATGGGGTGAGGCGGGCTGAGTTTCTCAAACCTGCTGCCCACCAAGCCCGCCAGCCCGCCCGGGCTGATTTATTTTTTTTAATTTTTAGTGTAAAATGTAACGGGTTTGGCGGGCAGCCCGCCCAAACGGGCCGGGGCGGGGCGGGCAGCCCGCTTTGCCACCTCTATCTGCAAGTGCCCACACTTGCAATAGTGTGGGTCCGCCCCTGCGTGTGTTGATATCTGACACGCATTTTTTTTGAAAAGAAGCTTGTATGTGCTTCCTTGATTATAGGAGATAAAATTATTTCTTACACATACATAAAAATATATACGAACATGGGCCCCATATAGTTTTATGTGTTTGTAGAAGAAATTTATATATATATATATATGAAATATTATTTTTGCAATTGTGGCAGAAATAATACTTCTGCACAGACACAAAAAAACATTCTTTCTCATTCAACCAAAGCATTATCTCTTATCTCTCAGTGTGTGTGTGGCTAGGAGTATTATTTCTGGTCCAACCGCAGAAAAATACTCCCATATATATAAACAAAAAGTTTGAATCTCATCTGAGTGCCGTTAGATCAAGCAAGATCAACAACTCTCATATGAGGTGTCAAACTTTTCTCTTTTCAATATACACAACATGTGTATATTGTTTGACACCAGTGCCACTAAATCATGCTCCATATACACAACAGACATGTGGGTCCCACTTTTCTCTTTTCAAAGAGACATGTTTGTTGTATGTATAAAAGAACATATTCTTTAAACATAAGAAGTAGGGATGGCAAAAACGACAACCCGTCCTAAATGAGTCGGGTTGGGTTGGCCTAAATGAGCTGCCAACCCGACTCAACTCGACCCGATACAACCCAGACCCAAACGAGTCAGCCCGCGGGTCAAGCGGGCCAGCTCGCGGGTTGGGTATTTTATTTTATTTTTAATTAAAAAATAATAATATGATTGTATTAAAAAAATAATAATATGATTGTATTAAAAAATAATATGAAAACTCCAAAACTGTCATACGCTCACATCGTCGTCACTCGTCACTTTCCTTAACCCTAAGATTCTTCTGCCCCCTTGGATAGCTTGTTCACCCTGTTACCACTAACCTTGCATCTTCTGGTCTATTGGCCTATTCTCTTGACAAACGCAATCCACTACTCCCAAGGAGCAATACCCTTTTCTCTATATTTCTCATCTTTCTTTTTTATTTTTTCCCAATATATATATGAAAATTGATTCATTGTTCTTCTTCTATGTTGTTGACATTATAAGATTTGTTACTTCAATCTTTTTTATTTTTCCAATCTGGGTACCTTTGAAGAGATCAAAGTTGGAACCTTTTGGCAGTGTTGATAATTTTAGCAGTGTTGGAGAACAAATAAGGCTAGTTTCACAAAAATCAATTTTTTTGAGCCAACTCGCGAGCCAATATTTCGAGCTAACCAACCCGCGAGCCAACCCACTGGCATCATTTCGAGCTAACCCGCGAACTTTTTTTTAGCCAACTCGCGAGCTTTATTCCGAGCCAACCCGTAAGCTAACCCTAACCCGGCTCGGGTCGGGCTGAGTTGAGTTTTCTGGCTTTTTTATTTTTTCGGGCCAACCCTAACCCGACCCGTTTTTTACGGGTTGAATGCGGGTTGGGCCGGGTCAAGTCGGGTTGGCCCGTTTTGCCAACCCTAACGAGAAGTCTTTAACCCATATATATGTGTGTGTGCGTGTGCACGCATGATATGATCAACTTATACTGGTGTAAAATTAATAAATTTTGCACTCAATTTTAACCGTTGATTTCCATTTATCAAACAGTTATAGTTAATTAGATTATTTTTATTAATTAATTATTAATTTCAATAAATTATAATCATATCATCAGATATACAAAATCAACGGTTAAGATTGAGTGTAAGATTTATTATTCTTACACCGATGTAAGAGATCTTGCCCCTATGTATATATGAGATATGTTATTTTACCTAATTTTTTTGTTTGCCTTACATACTCATCTTCAATAACATCGGATTAGAATCTCAAAAGAAGAGAGAAAGAGTAAGATTTTTATCTAATAGTATTGAAGATAAGTATATAAAATAGGCAAGAAAAAAAAGATAGGTGGAATATCTTATCCTTGTAGCGTTAAGGAAGAGGTTAACTTGTTAAGTCACTCTAAATGAAATTTTAAAACTTTATCCCTTACATGAATAAATATATTTTAAGTGGATTAATTTTTTCGTTTTATATGAGAATTTTTTTTCTGATATTACTACTCACAATACATGAGTGAGGTTCACAAAAATTGAAAAAACAAAATAATCAAGATGAAACTTACTCATATATTATACGTGTAACATGAGAAAATTTTCTCATATAAAATAATAAATCTATTTATCATATTTTAAACCCCAAGCTAAGTTTATATCCATAGGCCACGAAATGAAATAGTTCACAACCTTGAACCTTCGTAAGTAGTATTCTTGTATTTTTTTTTTCTTCGCGTTATTCCATTACATACATACAAATGTACACTTACCTCACCAACCCAATCAAATAAAGCCCACCTTTCAACTTATGACCAATTTCAATGGTCATATCTTTAGCCACGTCAATATTTATGTTTTGGCCTATAATTAAGGCCTAAGGGTGATCACTGATTAAATTGCGTTACAAGTTGTTCTGTGTTAAACTCAATTGATATTTTTTTATGCTAAAATAACTACTAATTTTTATAAGAGTAAAATAATACAAAAGGAGAGGGCAAAAAACAGAAGACGAAGACGAAAATAAATCATTAATTGCTGTATATTATTCTACTAGATATTTTCACCTGTGCGCCGTCGTTTTATGAAGTTTGTATGTATACGAAGGATTAATTCATAATTAATTTTAAATATCATATTAATTAATAATTAAACTATTATTATCCAGCTAGCAAGTAGCTAGTATAGTATAAGAATGTTTTAATTTAGATGAAATATGAAAAATGCAACTTTAAAAAATTAAGATTATAATATACATATATATGAAAAGATTATATTTACAATTTTTTTCTGATAACTATTTTATTTACCATTGAATCAAAATCAAATTAACTGTTATAAAATGATATGTTAATTTTATTAATATATGATTCAAGTTGAATCTTAAAAATATATATTAAAAAGATAAAACAATAAAATCATAAAAAAATGTAGGATTAATTCAAAAGAATTTAAATTTAAATTTAAATTGTGAAAGGAGAAAAGTTAGAAAAAGGTCTGTATAATTTCTTAAAAGAGAATAGATTAAAAATTCAAGCAATTTTTAAGATAATATATACTCTAATTAATAATAAAAGTGAAATAGTTAAAATTGAAAATAGTAAATTTTATTCATTTATTTTTAAATGATTTCCGCGACTAGTTAATCTGAGATCCAAAATTAATCTAATTTGTGCAAGGAACACTCAAGATATCTTTTTTGTTTTTTTTTTTGGTAAACGTACACTCAAGATATCTAGTTGAACTATTCGAACTCAAGATTCAATAAATTCATAAATTATTTTATAGGATAAGATATTATTACTACTAATGTTATTATTATATTTATGACAATTAACGATTATTATTTATTATAAATTAATAATTAATTAACGAACTCGATTTATAAAAATACTAATCATTGATCGAAAAAAATGAATAAATGAATGGTTAAAATATAATAATACTATTATTTTGGTAATAAAAATATCACATCCCATATTTTATTATAGGGTTTTATAAGAGTTATGTTGTAGGAAAAGTGATTGTGTTATGTTATAGAGATTCGTTTTGCATGCTGAAGTTTTTTCTTTTTTTGCTGCGGGCCCCATAAAATATTGTGTGTGTAAGAAATTTTTTATGATTATGTTAAATGATAGATGATAAACCCTTCTTTATATACGAGTTTCGCCCTATAATATGCAGGGGCTTGATGTAAAAGTAGTGTGTACACGTTTGGTGGTAAAAGAAACTGCAGTATAAGGATAGATTTAAAAAGTTTTTATTTTAGAGTGTAGAGAGGAGAGGGTCCTTGTTCCACCATCTCCAAAGCATTATGCAAACGTAATTCTCACCCTTTTCTGTTTGTAAGTTTCCATTCACAACACAAAACAACCCCATTTTCATCACATCAAATCCAATACCATAACCCCATAAAACCAGTCACAACAAAAACTGTTGCGAGAAAAAGAAGAAGAAGAAGAACAGTAACAGATCCACTCCTCTCTTCAAAAATCTAACCTTTATTCAATTTTTGCCGATAATCACCAAAACCCTAGTTGTCACACCCCCTCTCCTTTGTGATCTGGTCCGTTTTCCATGTCTGGGATATTTTTATATTTGTTTCTGTTTCTGTGCATACTTTCTGTGTGCTGCTCTGCCACTTCGACTTCTTCCTTCGGGTCACGTCGTTCGATCCTGCGAGAGGTCAACGATAATGGTAAAACTGGTGTTGATCATCCCGATTATGCAGTTGAGCTGAATGCCACGAATTTCGATGCTGTTCTTAAGGATACCCCTGCTACTTTCGCTATTGTTGAATTCTTTGCCCATTGGTTAGTCACAATGATTTCTATCAAGTTATCATATTCCCGTGTTTCTATTTAGTCTTTGAATTCATTGAATCCTCTCCCCGGTATTGAAAAGTTCAGTTTTTTTATGGATTTTACTTTGATTGTAGGAGTTTTATTTATTTATTTTGTTAAATTTGATTCAAGGTGAAATACCCTTTTGATTAGCGAATTGGATCTGCAGTATAATAGTGAGGAGAGATGAATTCATAATATAAAGCATTACAATGCTTTGGGAAATTCTGGTTGATTTGTCTGTTGAGTTTGCTTTTTCTATTGTTACTACTAATCCAGTTAAAGGTAATTGGAGCTTAGAAAAACATTAAGGAGAGGTAATGGTTGGTTTATGCAATTGATGCTATAAGCGGTGTAGGGTAAAAATAAATGGAAAATGTAGTTTGATAGAACACCGGTAAAGTTTTTCCTTTTAAAGGGGCCAGCTTAGAGAGTGGTAAAGTTGTTTCCATTGTGATTGAAAAGTACGGTGAATAATCTATTTTCAAATATACAAGGGTAAGGTCACGAACAAAGATTGCCCTTACCCCAAGTCTCTAGCCGGTTCAAATACGGAAAAAAGTCTCTTTATAAATATGCAAGGATAATGCTGCATACAAGGATTGCTCTCATTTCACCCTCGTTGGTTAGGGTTTAATTGGAAGTGGTTTTAGTGTGATAGATTAGGACTTTGCTTGAAAATGGTCTTTTTTATTCCGTTCACTTCATGTCCTCTTCTTTTACACCTCTGTGAAGCTAGCCTTGATTTGTGAGTCATTTTACCGCTGCCAATTAACATTAAATAGTTACAAAGTTCAGCCTATGACAAAAAAGGGAAGCTCGAAAAACTGCCTCAAATTTTAATACTCCTTTCTTACTTGATCAATTTGACATGGACTAAATAGTTTTTAATTCTAGGATTCATTCAAAGGAAAATTAACTCTCTCTTTTATGGTCAAACCCCAACCAGTTTTTGTGTGTGTGTGTGTGTATGTGTGTGTGTTTGACATCAATATTTCTCCTCTGCTCTCTTCCCAAAAAAATAAAATAAAAAGGAATATATCCATAGGTATGCTTGAGGAGCATATTATTTTACTTTGACTTCTGAAATTTCTTGTCTTAGTTAAGATGCTTTTTCTACAATCAAATTGGACTAAGCTTTTTCATTCCTTGATAATAAATATTTTACAAATTCTTTTCTGCATATAGGTAGATTTATAAGAATGGAATATGAGTGTAAGAAAATCTCATTTCCCTTGTGTCCTTTATTTCTCTGTCAGGTGCCCTGCTTGCAGAAATTACAAGGTATTATTTGGTAAAAAGTATAATTAATTTTTTGGAATTTTTTCAATTAACATTTCAACTCACTGTTATTATCTCACTGAATTTATAACACAGCCTCACTACGAAAAGGTCGCAAGGTTATTTAATGGACCCGATGCAGTGCATCCAGGAATCATATTAATGACAAGGGTAGATTGTGCATCGAAGGTACATGCATCTTTTGTTACTTTCTTTAAAAGACGGTTTTATGTTTATACAAAACATGCCTTGGTGATTGGTACCTTTCTGTTCACTTTTTTGGCAGCACAGATAAATACTAAGCTCTGTGATAATTTTAATGTTGGTCATTATCCTATGCTCTTTTGGGGTCCTCCTCCTAAATTTATTGGTGGTGGTTGGGAACCTAAACAAGGGAAAAGTGATATACGTGTGATTGATGAAGCACACACAGCTGATCGGTTGCTTAATTGGATCAACAAGCAAATAGGCAGGTATGAGGTATTCATACATTCATTGTTAATGCAGTTATGGTATTCTAGGTGAATATTTTATTTGAGCCAGTGATGTATTTGAATTTAGAATCAGCATTTGGACTTATAATGCACTAGAAACTAAGCAGTATGGAAAAATCAAAGTACTGAGCGCAACAGTCTAGAACTATGAGGAAGCATATCAGTTGTGTCTGGTGGAACATAGAAATTGTCATTGTATATGTTGCTTAAATCTGATGCAAATTTAGCTTGATCTTATTTTATTGTGTGTAACTTCTAATGTTCATAATGCCACAGTTCATATGGCTTGGATGATCAGAAGTTTCAAAATGAGCATATTTCATCCAATGCATCAGACCCTGGACAGGTCCCCTTTTGCACATGCCTACGTATTTGGTTGCTTTTGTTTTATTTTTGAAAATATTGACATACATGATATGCATGACTTGGAAAGATTGCAAGAGCTATCTTTGATGTTGAAGAGGCAACTTCTACCGCTTTTGACATCATCTTAGAGCACAAGGTAGACTAGCATTTCTCCCTGATTGGTCTTTTGTTTTGTGCTCATTCTTTTGGATGATAGAGCTAATACTTTCTGCTTGGCAGATGATAAAACCAGGAACTCGAGCTTCACTTATAAAGTTTCTTCAGCTTTTGGCAGCTCATCATCCTTCTAGAAGGTAAGAGGAACCTTTTACTGATCCTTTCTTCGCTGTCCAGAATTTAGTGTCACAATTTTTTGGTGTTCTGGATCATTTTTTACAGATGCCGGAAGGGTACTGCAGAATTACTTGTGAGTTTTGATGACTTGTACCCAACAGATTTTTGGTCTACTAATAAGCAGGAAGATGATAAGAGTTCAATTAGGAACTTACAGATTTGTGGAAAAGATGTGCCTCATGGGTACTGGGTAGGAACTCAAACTTGTGGTTAACCTTTTAGACATTTCTGTAATGTAATACACTTCTGCTTGGCTTTTGTATGAAGTATTTGTAACATCTATACTTGGACAACACCTTAAACTTATATTTTATGAATGTATTTTTTGTGGGCTAGTGTTGTCAGATGAATCTTTGAAAGATCTAGGCTGTGTTTGTTTAAGCTTAGAACAAAAGCGCTTTTTTGATGTAGCTTTTCTTCAGAGCTTTTTTTGAGAAGCTACTTTTTTCAGCTTTTGAGAAAAGCATTAAAACAGCATTTTTTTAGGTTTTCACTTTTTTCTGGAAAACCTTATGTAATTATTATAAAATTCTTTAAACATTTTTAAATTAAAAAAATGCGCTGAAACAAAAGGGTTTCTATTGTCAGTAACCATCATTTATTCATAGCCTCTATTCTCTTTTTAAAAGTTACCATATTATGTTAATTATAGTTGAATTGTAACTGAGAGTAGGATCTCATATCATTAGTTATATCAAGTATTCGCAAACAAACCTGTGTTTTTTTTAGAAAAGAAGGATTTTTTAATCTCCTGTGTCAGTAAACCTTTATAATATTTATACTTTTTTGTGTCTCTGTCCTATGATTTGTCCTCAATGCTTTCATAATTATGTCTTAGAAGAAAATTTTGCTCTATGAGCCATGCTTTCATTATCTAATCATTGTCACCACATAGAGAGAAGAAGAAGAAAGTACATCTAGGGTCTCCGAAGAAGTAAAAGAAAGCAGTGAGCCAAAGTAGCAAAAATGAGAAGGTTCCTGATTGTTTTGATTTATTTTGACTTTTGTTTTCCAGATGTTTTGCCGAGGCAGTAAAAATGATACCAGAGGCTTTAGGTAATACTTTCCCTTCCATGTTTTTTCTAGTTCCATGTCCAATCAACATATTCAACTTCCTTCCCCACATTAACTGCCTTTGTTTTCATTTTAAATTTAAATTGGTGTCTCTCTTCTGCCACTCTATTTTTATGTGTGCGAAGAAATATGCATATAGCTGGAGCTTCACCCATCTAAGTGACCTTAGTTCTGCATTGACTGCAAACCATCTCAATGATATATCTTAACATTATACCCTGTCTGATCTCTCTGCACTTTTCCAGCTGTGGTTTATGGGTTCTTATGCATTCACTCTCTGTGAGAATTGAGGATGGAGAGAGTCAGTTTACATTTAATGCAATATGTGATTTTATTCACAACTTCTTCATCTGTGAGGAATGCCGACAACATTTTTACAAGATGTGTTCAAGGTAAAAGGAATTGAGAACTGCTAATGTCAATATCATTCAAGATCCTTTTTTTCCCTTAACTAATTTTGAATTCAATTTTCAGCGTTTCTAGTCCTTTCAACAAAGCCCGTGACTTTGCCCTCTGGTTGTGGAGTTCCCATAATAAGGTGAACGAAAGGTTGATGAAAGACGAAGCATCTCTAGATACTGGTGATCCGAAATTCCCAAAAACAATTTGGCCGCCAAAGCAGCTTTGCCCTTCCTGTTACCTAGGCCATGACCAGATGAACAACAAAATTGAATGGAACCTGGATGAGGTCTTTAAGTTTTTGACTAGTTATTATGGAAAAACGCTCGTTTCTCTGTCCAAGGACAGGAGTATTGTTGGAAATGACAGAACTGATGGAGCTGTTGAAGATTTAGTAGTATCTACTAATGCAATTGTTGTGCCTGTGGGAGCTGCACTGGCAATTGCTGTTGCTAGCTGCGCTTTTGGAGCACTTGCTTGCTACTGGCGTTCACAGCAAAAGAGTCGGAAGTATTTTCACCACCTACACTCTTTAAAGAACATATGATAATTAGTAGGGTAATGAACTCTTTCAAAATTAACTGATATGAAGAATGGAAAAGGGGGTATAAGGAGAGATAGATTATGTTCTTGAGCTATTGAAATTCTTTTTTATTTTTTAATTTTAATTATTTGTTTGCATAATGTTTCAGGCCAAGGAGAACGTGGAAGTAGGAATAGCTGACAAATGCACAAAAAGGCATTATGAGGTGCATAGCACATTTTGTAGGCATCCAATTTATGGTCTCACTCCAAAGAGCCTTGCCAGGGTTCTTTTTGAATCTATCCTTCCTTAATAGAATGTACAGAATACAATTCTTGCTCTTGGAGATCATTACTGATCTGTGCTACTTTCTTTTACTTTCTTCTTGGTGTTGAACTCACATAGCCTGGGAATTTGTGGGAAAGGAGCACATGAATGTAACATTTTTGCTTTGTAATTTTGGGTTATTTTTTATTAACATAGTAACTATAAGCTATAGACACGATTTACATTATTATGCCTGGTTCACCTTTTACCAAAAATTTGAATGAAATCACGAGCCTATAGTAGTTTATCATTTGAATGAAATCACGTAGTTTGATTTAATTTTTGATAAAATCTTTACATATAAAATCTAATTACTTGAAACCTGTAAAAACAACACATTAAGGTTTGTAGGCGACTGTAAATGTTTTTTAAAAATGTATAAAGCCCATTGAAAATATTAAAATATAGGGTTTTATTTAAAAATTCACTGAAACTATAAAGGCTGAGTGATTTGAATTTTGGTTCAATTGTGACAATTTTGAGTGCTGTATGGGTTCGGGCGTTCACCTAAACCAATTTAATCAATACTTGACAGTTTCATAATTCCTCCTTATGCAACTAGAATTATAGAAGTTGTCATATTAGATTACTGAGCTACCACCCAAAGTGATAATTTCTTTGGCCGAGGGGGTCATATACAAAAGTCGAGGTTGACAAACTTTGATTTCGAAGGTGACAATGGCTAAATATTTTGGCTTCAATGCAACAATACTGACCAGTAGATGGTGAGATCATCAAGGAAATCAATAGAATACCGAGCGTCTATTGTCTACATCAATGATGGTAGGGCTATTCGAGAGTTGAAAGAGACTGACTGAAGCAGGCATATGCAGACCCTGGACCATGTGTCTCAACTAGTGACAATCTATTTTCTATGGCTTTTCATTAATTAATGAGCTGGTGATACAAATAACATGAAACCCAAAAGAAAGTAAACGAAGCTAGCAGCATCCTGTAGCGAAATAAATGCCACAAACGTGCCTATTTTTCATTGCAATATATACAAGTTTGATATCTACCCATGTAATTTTCTCTATTTATAATGATAAATTTCTATCTGCACGCCGAAGATATTGTACTGAATATGAAGAATTCCAATCTGTAGGCAGAAATAGTAATGCAAATGTACAACTTGCTTGTGCCAAGACTTTCCAGGGAGTAGCTATTACAGGATCTTGGTAATATAAGTGGCGCACAATGCCCCATGAGGTATGACACCTGTCGCACACCAGAATTTCAGTGTCTTCTGACCAGTTTTATCCTCATTCCTCAGCAAATTCAAGGTTCTCAAAGTTTTCTTCATCTAATTTGCATCATAAATCACAAGACAAATTGCAGCATCTCAAACCAAGAGCTTTTCACACTTCATTTACTTCAAGTGGCTTCGATAGTTTTACAGAACACGTATCATATGAGGCTGCAAAGCTGCTTCCTCGTTTTCATCGTCAGATAAACTGACCAAGGCATTGGGATGCTCCTAATAGTTACAAATGGCCAAGCAAAAAACCAAGAGACTTCACTATAAGTAATTACATGATTGCTGAGATATATTGAATCATGGGAAATGGTAGAAACTCACCCGAAGATGTCTCCGATGCCGCTGGATGAACGTCACTGCTCTAACCATGAAGTATATAGGAAGAACAATTCCCGCAGACCGAAATAATAACACCTATCAAAACTCCATTAAATTGAATATACCTTGGTAAGTAAGAGAAGAGAATGATGATTGCTCTTACTAAAATTATATGTTGAATTATGCAAACCGTACCAAGAAGAGTGGGAAAGAGTAATCCTTATTTCCACTAATTACAAGGGGAAGAGTATGTCTTAAAATCAGCAGAACCATGAACTGCACATGAGAAGCAATGAGGATTGGGAAACGTCATAACCAGAAAATGTAAAGGCACAGTGCCATACATGCACAGGAAGAAAAGAGAGAGATTACAATGACAGCAACCAAACGACAGCATATCAAACTTCCTGGAGTAGAGGCTGAATATTGATCATAGTTAGAATTGATAAGGTTCTGGTCGGTCGAAACCATGCTAACCAAATGAGTGCTATTCAAGTCTCTTCTTGAAATCTCCCAATTTCCCCTGACATAAAACAGCATGGGAGCACATTTGAAAAATAGAAATGAAAAAACATGGTTCACAGATTAACTTACTGTGGGGGGGTAGGAATATTGCGAGGAAGTTACCTGAAACTCATTGGAATACGTCCAAATTGAAATAGTGGAGGAGGAGCTGTATAACCAGGCTTGAATTGCTAAAATTTACAATACAGCGGAAAATCATCAATTATAACAAATTCAGGTGAAAAATGATATGCCAAATATAATGATTACTTCCCAAACCCAAATAATCCAGATACCACAATTTCCTCAAATAAATTATCAGTGGGACTAGTATGCAGAAAGGATATGAGAACCAGGAATAGGAGCAATTTTAAGCTACCTGGTGGCATATCTCACAGGTGGTGTCACCCTTCTCATTACACCACCGTTGTATACATCTTCGGTGGGCGTACTGCAAAAATCAATTAATAAAAGTGTACAAAGTTTAAGCATTAGTTGAGTTTGGTAAAGATCAGTAGTTAGTACATGTGCAACTTTCTCAAAAATAAAGAGCCAAATAAAACATGCAGCACCTTTTTTTCCTGTGAAAATACAGCATAAAACAACTATCAAGAGATTAATAAACAATTTTATTTAGCAACAATAAAAGCCAAAAATAAGGAATAGAAAGCTGGGAGTCTAGGACCATTGACAACTACTTGCATCACATATGATGTTTAAGCTGTGCACAACATCAGAAGCATGCAGACAACAGCCCCATGTACACAATCCATCTAATATGCTACCACCACATGCTAAATTGCAATTGCACAGGCTTTGCAGCCTTGACTGATGTATGGCATGTTAGAAATAAATCTCAGCCTGGTTGGTATTTCCAAAATTCTTACACTGTTGAGGTGTCTACCGTCTACCTAATGATAGAATGTCAGACAAATAGTGATAGAAGCTTCTATAATGCATAAGTCGCACATATCTTTAAAATCTTGTGCAAAATGAGCATGTTTCCAATTGATCCCACCTTGTAAGATCTTAACCACTATGCTATCAAGGATAAAAATGGAGAAAAAGTCTTATACACCTTGCCAGGCATACTCTTATAAAAGATCTTTGTTCCCTGGCATTTTACCAAAATCATCTGGTTATCTTGGGTGGAAGGAATATCTTTTTTATTATGTAATTTGGTAACTGACGTGTCAAAATAATTAATTGTCCTCATCTCTCCAAGTGCAACCGTTTTGTATCTTTCATGTGGGTTCATCTACCACCGACCCCAATTAATTTAGGATAAAGGTGTTGTTGATGTTGATGTTGATGTTGATCTCTCCAAGTGCAACCATATAAATAAATTAGAAACTGACTAAAAGTTTACGATGGTGAAAAATAATCAACCAGGTGACAGAAAATATGTCAGTAAAATTTGGCAATAGACACTTGAAATTCTTCAAGAACATTTATGTGTCCATCACAATGGATTTTGTTTTCCATAAAATTTTAAAACGCATGTTTCATGGATTCACGTAACAAATAAAAATAAAACAGAATAAAAAGCTTAATAACTTTCACATATCGTAAGTAACATATGATTATGAATATGCATACTAGTAAAGAACTAACCTTCAAACTACCACAACAGGAGCAGGGTGTTTCCATATTGGAATCTTCATCCTCATCATGACATATCCTGCATTCTACCAGTTTCCCCGGATATTTTATATGATCGAGACCCATCTTCATCGAAGAGAGGTCAACCTCTGTATCATTCACTGCTGAGGATGCAGCCTGCATTGATCGATTTCTGCTTTCAAGTGCAGCTTCTAATGTGGATTCAGTTATCAATCGATCAACCAACAAACTAAAGTGATCCCCCATCTTTATGCACCCAATACCAAAATTCACAAAACTCCTAAGGGATTTCTTTATTCTCTGGGTCTAAACCTCTTGGTCAAGTAAGTCTCCTTCTGAAAATGAAATCCAAATGCAAGGAAAGAAACAAAAAGCAAGTAAGCATCAGCAACATCGAGAAGCATATTGAGAAAAAGGTAAAAAAAAAAAATGCTAAAAAAATTGGCTAATTTTATCTTCATGCAGAAATTCCCAGTTTCAAAAAATAAAAAAATATATGAACCCCACACAACGCTACAAATTGGAAGAACCCGAAGGGATTCAATTTCATAAACCGAAAGCTACAAATTGGAACAAAAGCACCCCATCCTCGAAAATAAAGGGGGAAAGAAAAAAGGTTAATCGAACCTACAAACTGATGCAACATCAACGAAGCTGATAAATTGAACTGAATGAACAAAAGCAATTAATTTGAAAATTTATCTGAAAAGGATGAGGAATTTGAATTTATAGCGAGAAAGACAGCAACTTAAAAAAGGGTATACCCTGAATAAGTTGAAACAAGCGCAGAAACATTGTAAAGACATATTAGATAGAGAAAGAGAGAGTACCCAGAAAAAGTTCGGGGACAAAGGGAAAGGTGAAACAGACCCAGATGAAAAAAATGGAACAAGAGAACAAAAAGCGACCACCTTTACTCACAGAATGACTTAAAAAGCCAGAAGAAGCATCACAACAACGAAAAGGGGCGCCAAAAAAAGAAGGGTAGAAAGGAAGTGGGAATCTTACAAGAAGGGGATCGCATTTTGTTGAAGCTAAGAAAAGCTTTCACCTTTTCTTTTTTTCTTCTTCTCAGAATCGGTCATATAAAAAGGAACGGTGCTTTCACTTTCTACAAAAGAACGAGGTTTGGGAATGAAGCAAGAGATTGAGTGTCGTTCATGTCCAAAGGCAATAACAAAGAGAGATGCGATTTTCCCTCGTGTGTGTGCGTTGTGTGTGGTGATGTCTATAGTCTATTGATGCGGCTGTTTCTCTTTTATACATTGATTCAAAGGGTAGAGAAGCAGAGGGATTATGAATCTAACTGCAACTATGCCCTGTGGGACCACCACGATTCTACTCTTATTTCACCGTTATTGTCATTTCGCATTTGCTTCCTCTCCACCCTCATGTTCATCGTGTGCCCATGAATATGTCCTAAATAAATAATAATAAACTAATTCAATCAATCAATTTTAGTTAAAATTCAACCATCCTTTAATTTCTTTTAAAATATTGAATATTTTGTTAATGGAAAAAATATTTGTCCTCTAAAATAACATCTTATATTATTTTACTTTTATAAAGAGATAAGATCCATACTTTTATTTTTTATTTTTTGGGTCCATTCTCTTCTACTCATGATCTATTTCTTTTTCTCATTTATAATGACATAATTTTACATCTTTTAAAATGACACATATTTTTTCTTTTGTTAATTTTAAAAACAGTTTGAAATTGAATTTTTGTCACAAAATACCTATTGATTTGGTCAACATTAAAAGTGGTCTTGTAGGGTGACAACTTATATTGTCTGTTTATCATTTAAACGCATCAGAACTACTACACAAATAGTACGTGTACAATTCTTCATTTATTATATTACACTTTATTTGTTAGTCAGGTTAATAATAATAAATTGTGTTTCTATCATTTACAAACATCGCTGTATCCTGTATGTAGGTATTGTATGTTCACATCTATGCAAGGAGATGAGTGAAAAATCAAAGAGAAAAAAAGAAAAGAAGTTAAATCATCTAGCGTAATTTGCAATATGAAGAAATTAGTGTTTCTTTTTATATCAAAATTATGGAGGGTAAAATGATGGGAAAAAGTGGAAAGTTTAGGCATTTGCGTTTAATGTACCGAGCATGTCATGTATTCTTTGTTTTTTCTGATAGGAATGTATTCTTTCACTTTCAGCACAAACAACATCTTCTAATTCTAGCACCAAAATAGACATTAATCTTTTTTCAATCTTTAGGAATTGGGTGAAGTAAAGCTTTATACATAGAACTGATAGAAGGCATTTATTCGTGCACGCGAGGCATGCACCCAATCGATCAAAACGTCACTCTATTGCATTACCAATAGTAAAATGAATAATGAAATGGCGTAGCCCACGTAAGTTCATCCTATTTCACTTATACCACTTTTGATTAAATTTTAAAGTTAAATATTAATATTTAATGATGAAATTATTGCCATGTTTTAGAATACAAAAATAAAATAGATATACAGTGCAAGTGCTATACTTGAAAAAATATAATAATTTTCGTATGATTCTTTTTCTTTTTCATTTTTCACCAAGTATTGAACTTGGCATTAGTTGAAAAAGACCATGTCAAAGAACCATCGAGCCAACAGGTTCAAGGGGTCCGCATAAGACGCTGGTCGTGTTAGTCTTGGATCGATTTCTCAAATTAAATCAAGGTCGTGATATTATTCAGATGCATTTCAAGCTTTCCACAAAGGCAACTACGTAAATGTCATGGTAGACTTGGTGAAGGCTTTTATATTTATGTTATTAATTTTGTAGGGGAAGGATATTTCCCCCCAGTAATATTAAAATACTTATTGATTGTATTAAATATTTATACGCCATGTTTAATCTAATACTGCTCTTGCACCCAAAAAAGTTTAATACTACTGGAAAGGGGATTGTATCCCTTGGCCTCCGATTTTCTAGTTACTCAAAATTAGAGACGGAAAATAGGCTTATCTCTCACCTTGACTGGTCCGGACTTATCAAAAACGGGATGGAATGAGTTGGCTCGGCTCTTAAAAATAGGTTGACAATATTAATTCGTCAATTTTATAATGGGTTGATAGGTCAACTTATTTAAAAAATAAAAATAAAAAGGAAATCTTATTTTATTTTTATGATTTTTATAGTATTTTTAATTTAATTTCACATTCCCGTTAAATTTTTTCAATCTCAATCAAAATATACGTTAATATTTAGTGTGAGAGTCCCTAGGGACTCATTTTTGCCACCATATATTAATAACCTTGGTAAGAGAGTATTAAAATAAAAAAAATTAAATATCACATAAATTTGACATAACAAATAAAATATTACTTAATACTAAAAAAATGACCTGACAGGTTAACCACAGCTAGGGGTGTTAACGGGTCGAGCCGAGCCAAGCCGAGTTTTGGTCTTAAAAGGCTAAGCTTGTGTTTAAATGTGACAGTCTGACCAAGCCTGTTACCTATTATGAATATAATTATCGGCCTGTGACCTGATTTATTTACAAAAAATAAAAGTCTTGTTTAGCCTGTTGGCCTGTTTCAAAAATATAAGACAATAAAAATTTATCCAAACATAATCTACAGTCAACAGCACTAATAATTCCATAAATATTCATAAATTTAATGTACATCTAAACAGCATAATATAGAACAAAATCATTCAAAAAAATTGTTTAACCAATAAAATAGGGTGAAATGGATTGAGGAGAGAGAGAGGGCTACTAAAAATAGTATAAAAATATAAAATAAAATAAAAATAAATATACTAGTCCAGCCTGGGAGGCTCTAAGGCCGAGCTTTTGAATTGGAGCCTGAGGCCTTTTTATTAAACGAGTTTTAATACAAGTCCAAACCTGCTTCCAACAACCAATTTTAGACATATAAGCCCAGACTTTCACGAGTCGAGTCAAAGGCCTCTGAAAGGCCTCTGATTTGTTTAGCACCCCTAACCACAGCCCCGACGAGGTGAACTCATTTTGTTCCATCTTTATACAAGATGAGTTCAAATGGGTTGGCAGACCGAGAATCCCACCCCAACTCATTATCTGTGATGAGTTAAACAAATCAACCAAATATATTAGACTTGTTTCATCAACTCTACCCAAAATGCCTTTGAAATGCATTTAAAAAATAAATCTTAGCGAAAATGTTTTGTGTAAGATTTGGTGTAAGATTTATTATTCTTACACCGGTGTAAGTTAATCCTATCTCATATATTATATATATATATATATATATATATATATATATATATATATATGGAAAATATTTCTGCAGCCACTTTAAATAAGGTTGTTTACTGCTACCTTTTTTTCACTAAGTACGACCGGTCGTACATTAAAATTGCATTTTCTCTCTCCGCTGCGTCAGCCGATGATGTCTGAGGAAAGAGAAAAAAAGAATAACTTTATTGTTATAACTTTTTTATATATATATATATATATATATATATATATATATATATATATATATATAAAGTATTTTTCTCATGTTGCATGAGAATTCAATTCTCATGTTGTGACCATTCGATTTGCGTGCAAAGCTTTTCTTTTATTTTTATTTTTTAATAAATGTGGGACCCACCACTAGTTGAGTCACAACATGAGAATTAAAATCTCATACAACATGAGAAAATCAAACCCCGTATATATATCAAGATCATTTTACACCGCTATAAGTTACACTTTTAATTTTGATCGTTGACTCTATTTGTTAGGCTGGTTCCGAAGGAGCCCATGGTGGGGGACCACAACCAATAGACTAAGGCTACACCACCATATCAAGTGGATATGACATCATATCTCAACCCAAAACCTTAAGACATTGGGTTCATGGGTCCATCCACTTAGCCCATAATCAACCAATGTGAGACTCATCACATTTGAATATCTCAACAATCTCCTCCTCAAGTGTGAAACTCACCATTTGTATGCTCCCTTCTCTCCGAGTATCTTAGGCTCAGGTACTCAACCAGCCTCATAGTCGAACACCAGGCTAGCTTGAGTCCAATCCGACTCTGATACCACTGAACACTGTGTTACCTAGTAGTTTCCGCAGTTTACCATGACGTTATCTTCTTGCAATAACCATAGCTCCTCGAGTCAACTAGCATGAATACTTGTAACTACTGAAACTAATACCCACATCTAAGGGTGTAAGTGGGCCAGCAACCTAACAGGGGCTTGCAACCCACCATACATTAGGTCAGGCTCGACTTATTACATATAGTCAAATAGAACATGCTCAGACTTTTTAAAATAGCCTATTTAGAAAATCGACAATGGGCTTTCTTTTACATGTCAGGTCTACAATCCTACAAGCCGGTCTATATCATATTATTTATTTTAATGATTTTGAATAATAAAGTAATATTATTTTAATTATTTTTTTAATCATCGAATGCTTAATAGGCTTAAACAGGCTAAAAGATCTAGACCAAGGTTTTTTTTTTTTAAATATAGGTTTGCCACATTTATAATTTGAACCTACACAAGTCAAACAGATCAAGTCAGTGTAACATCCCCTATAATTAACTAGTATAGAGGATATCACATTATTTCTTAAATTATATTTTAATAATAATATTAAGAAATATAGAGGAATATAAATTTAGGAAGATAACTAATTAACTAACATCCTTCATTAGTTTGTACAAAGATGATAGATGCGAGTTAGTACATAATTTTTTTACATTCTAAATATTTTACATTAAAGTCTACTTCCTAAATTATTTTACATCAATATCATACATATATTACATTCCTAACTACTTAAAATTACAAATTTATACAGTACATATACCTCACTTTAATCTAGCCTATAAGTACAAGTCTTCACATTGTCTATATAGAATATAGCAACAGCTCCTTGGTTTTCAATTATTATGTAAAATTTGGAATGGTCTTCATAAAGGTAAATAGTAACCCTCCATCCTTTGCCAGACAAGTTTAGACTAGGCATGGTAGTTTTCTGGAAAGGTTAACACAACACAAATAAATGTGAGAAAAATTTCAGTAATATGAAGGCTTCCTAACTATAACCATTTTAGCCGTAGTAACGAAAAATACCATTCTCTCAAATAATTTCATAAAAATGCAGGAATATCAAAAATAACCATAAATAATAAATTGTGTAATATTTAACTAAAGCTAATTAAATCCCAATTCTATAGGTCTATGCATGTGAACGATTCTGTATAGCAGAGCTCAAGCCATGATA